CCTGTTTTCCTTCTACTTATATCTAAGCTCCATATTTCGCACAGATAACTAACTGAGCCGTTCTCGGTGGTGTTGCATCCGGGACAATGCCTGAAATTAGACAAACCAAGCGAGCTACACAGCGTTATAGTGAAAACACTTAAAAAGATTGCGATGACTTTCAGATCTCTAAAGATGAAAATCCTTTTATAATTTGAAAACGTGGTACTATACACGGCGAGCAGAGCGTGATTGTTAATTATCAAAACTGAGCAATTCTCTCTCTCAGTGTTTTAACCGATTACGCTATGAGGAAATTTGAGAATGGGGAAAAGATCATCGGAAGATTGGATTGGTCAGCTACGAGTAGCAAATTAGCTTTCGCGTGGGAATAATGTAGTACATATAAAACAATCACTAGCTAATATACCAACCTAAAGATTTTCAATAGAGAAAATTGGAATGTTTACGAATCTATTATGCAATATATCAGAAAGAACATTATAATTCAATACGAGCCTATCTCACAACCTAACTTTGCCGTATCTATTCTAGGGTCTTAACTACATCCATCATTCATTCATTGGCTGTCACGGTCGTTTAACATCGGCGTGTTGTCTTCTGACAGACGCATTCCAAGTGAAGATCAGCGACTACGGAATGACGGAGCTCAAACGACCTATAGAAGCGAGACGTTAGTATATACAAATCTATATAAAAATGCTTGAACAATTCCTCCAACGCTAATGAGCTATGCGTAGAAAATGAGAAATTATGCCTTAATAGCCGTGCCTGAACCTTGAATGCAAACACAAGTTCTTTGCTCAAAAGTTTTTCTAAACTTTACGGTGACTTGTACATCTCGCAAGCATGCATATTTTCTAAAGTCAAGCAGCTAGATATGATACACGTCGTTGAATCTCGAACGCTGTCTGAAAGACTACTTGGGACTTTATAGAAATCTAGTCCTGCTCCATCTATTACATTTTCAGTTCTTTTCAAGAAATACCAAAACTTTTCTCGACAAATTTTAATTCGCTACGCAATGGCTTTATCTTGACGACAGTCAATTCACGAACACCTTAACAAAAACAGCTAAAAATTTTACTTTGCATTTTATGCGACAAATTGTTGCAGACAAACTGTGGACTGCACCAGAAGTGCTCAACTGCTCTGCACCTCCGAATACGAAAGCTGGAGATATATACTCCTTCGCTGTTATTGCGGCTGAAGTTATTGAAAGAAAACCTGCATGGTTGCTGTATGGTGATGGTTCCAATGTGGAAAGTAAGTAGAGATTTTGCATGAAGTGCTGGAGAGGGTTATTCGAAGGTATGAAAGTATAAAAATAGTGGAAGTCTCAATTTCCATGAAAGCTTTCTTATTTCCTACTAAAATAATTTAGATATCATCAGCAAAGTCAAAAAGGGAGGAAGTGTGCCGCTGCGTCCGACACTGCAACTCGATACGCTGGATATTTCAGCAGAACTAGTTAGTGACAGTATGACGGAGTGAACCAAAATTAGTAGTTCGCAAACTATTGAATTTATACCAGATTACACTGGTGCGAAGCTGCTGGAGAGAAAGCTCTGTGAGTCGGCCGGCGACAGAGTTGATTTGCGAACAAATACGAGAAATGATGAAATCTGCTGGTCAGACAAACCTTATGGATCATGTGTTTGCAATCTTGGAGGAACACACAACTTCCCTTGAGCTGGAGGTAATAGGAGTAAACTATTCTACACTAGGTTGAGCTTCTCATAAATGTTTGAACTAAGGTTGAGAGTCGATCGAAGGACCTTATGCAAGAGAAGAAAAAAGCCGACATCTTACTTGGAAAAATGCTCCCAAGGCAAGTTTTAAGTTTTAAACAATTGCAGCTGAAGTGGCTAGTAATATGATATAAACTAAACTCTACGATAATAGCCTTCTCTCCCTGAACTTATAGGCTGGGACATTATAGCTATGTCAAAAAAGCACGTTTTTCGAGCAAGTTTACCAGTAGATATCAGGTTTAGTTTCATCTTGTAGACTTGACTGAGGTTTTTCCCAACAAAGACCGTTCAGAAGGAAGTGCGATCTGAATAGAGATAGCGTAGATGCATGTTAAAACTCCAGTTTCTGCCACAACTGCCAAACGCTCCTCCGCAAGAAGTTATCGTTTTGCCAGAAAAAGCCTCTGCGACATGACAAAACCTCTTTAGAACATCAAAATTAACTTAAAAAGGCAAAGTGAGGGGTATCACTGGACAAATACGTTATTGCATTGATCTTAGATTCTGCAATGCTTCTGCAGTTCGAAGTTCAGTTTGTGCAATTTTCATTTTCGCGCGTCTTGTAAGCCAATTTTATCAAAAATGAAGGTATCACAGATGTAGAAGGAAGCATGTACATTTACATCCTTAGGAATATGTTTTGTAATTAAATATTTCTTACCTCCAGGAAGTTTACTCAATCTCGTTTAGACAAGTAGCCGACCGATTGAAGTTGGGCCAGTCAGTGGAACCAGAGGGATTCGACAGTGTGACGGTTTTCTTCTCGGATATTGTAAAGTTCACCATTCTTGCTTCTAAATGTTCTCCTTTCCAGGTACTGCCACAAGTAATCTGACAAAAATCAGTAAGAATTATTTTTAGGTAGTCAATCTTCTCAATGAACTCTACGGGAATTTTGATGCAATCATTGAAGAACACGATGCTTATAAAGTACATATTTAATTTCCACCAATTTTTCGAGTTATTTCCTCTTTCAGGTCGAGTCTATTGGTGACGGCTACCTTTGCGTCTCAGGTCTACCACAAAGAAACGGACATCAGCATATAAAAGAGATTGTTGAGATGTCTCTTTG